TCAAGATTATTCTTACTGAATATATTAAATGTAAAACTACATCCCCCTTTCCCACAAAATGAGGGAAGGTATGACATTGTACATTATTCAAGGAAATGCACATTTTTACATTAAGGTAGACATGTGTACTAAAGAGAAGTAACTAAAGTCTATCCTCACTTTCCACTACTCTACAGCCTTGAGGTCAATGTAAAACCAGATTTTGAAAAATGACAGGGCTACCTAGGAGAATTAATGACAATTTCACAGTAAATTTACACACTTTGATAAGAATTAATCACATTAGAATTTCTATTTTCTTAAGAGTGCAAATCTAAAGATACACCAAGCACCTGTCCTATCAATGTGCCTCAGTTACAAATAAGAGGAACCCACAGAGCCAAGGAGAACCATTCACACTGTACAATGTGAGGCAAGCACAGAAGACACAGAATTGCCCTAATATTTCTGGCTATCTGACCAAACTAAAGGCAGTGTCTAAATCCACCTGGCTTGGAAAAATTACATTCTTCCTACATGAAATTGCTGAACTGAAGCTGAGAGCTATCTTTCAGATGTAAATCTAGAATCAACATTGAATTATGTCCTAACTGAATACATCACAATTACACCAACCTGAAAAAAAGGATCAAAATTGATCAGGGACAAGCAATAAGCCTCTATGCATTTTTAAACCAAAAAGGCTAGTACTTTTTTTTGTACTACTGCTAAAAAAAAAAATCCGATTTTTAAAAACAGCCAAGGCTACACATTACAAGGTCACCAATAATTATCTGATGGTGTAGATGTTTTAAAAAGTAACCCTGAGGTAAGGTTAGAAGAAATGAGATCAAAAAACTTATCAATGCTAATACTGGGCAGAAGTATTATCAATGCTAATACTGGGCAGACATTACAAGAGTCAAGAAACCCTCAACAGAGAGACTGGCCAACTATTCACTCTTGCTTTATCCTAGAAATCTCGAGCATACTCTGTCTCAACGCACAGTGAAAAGCATATGCTACTGTCAAAGCACAAGTGAAATTTTATGATACTTCTGTATTCTGACAAAAAAAAATTACTTACTCTGAAGAAAGGGGGTGGGTGCTACCACACTGAGACAGCCTTTCTTTACTGCTGGCTACCCTTTCAGCTTAGAATCTGAATGGCTGTCTGAATGGCAAAACAAATGAAAAACATCTTGGTCATAACAGGTACTGTGGATCTTTCATGAAATAAACCATAAGTTATAGCACAATCTTCAACCCCTTTAAGAACATTTCTTAATCATCCTGAGTGACAATCTAAAGTATATTATGTAGATTACTGCACTCTTAAAAAGATTTTCCCAAACATGATTTAAGCTAATTGATGAACATTCATTACTATGCTTTCAGGTCTGGTCCTGCACTCAATGGCCCCAGACATGCTAGTCAGGCTTTGACTATTTTTGTGTCTTGTAGATTATCTCTGTTATCCTCACCGGGCTGTTATCTGTTTTTTTCTTACAAGAGACACTAGGCTAACATCCTATTACCCAGCCCCCACCACACCCCCTGTAAACCTCCCACAGTACCCATAATCTACTTGTTTCTAATCTAGTGCAGGTTTAGAAGCCAGATAAGTTTGCTTGTTAGAAACACTTTAAGTAAATGCCAATGCGTTCTTATTAAAGGGCTCCAAGGCTTTAAGCTATCGACTGGGACAATTTGGCTATCCCAGGCCTTTGTTGTTCATTGTCTGCTTCTCATATACATTTTATAATAGGTCAATAATAATAGTGTGAGCAAATCATTTGGATTAGAAAAAGCCCAAGTAACAAACCCACAACTACAAGAGAGGAAGAAATCATTTGAGAGGACCCTTATGTCTCAGGCAATGTTCTAGGTACTTTAATTGTGATCACTGAATAAGGAAGGGGTTATTACTTCCATTTTCTGTCAGAAAACCAACGGTCAGGGGTTAAGCAGTAAATTGCCCAATATTGTAACTGAGAAACAAAATATTAGCCTATGGCTCTCTGATTCCAAAACCCACTACACGAGACTGCTGTCCAATCCTGAGTCTCGGTTTAACTACCTGATTTTACACTTTATTCCTGATCCTTCCACTGGAACCTGAGTTATTCAACTTTGCTTTCTTTCCTTAACCAGTTTCTGTAACTAAAGGGCAATAAGTGATCAAATTAAGGTCAGATGAAGCTTAGCTCTACAAGTGTACATCTGTTCAGCAATAAACACGTTTCTGAAAGACTGGTTGTATCTTCAGTTTGTATAAGCTGTGTAAAACTGGTGACAATTGTTCCCAGTGACACTGAGTTAACACTTCACATCTTCCCTAGTGCTATCCGTTACATGTGATAGGAAGCAAGGCAAGCATACTTTAGGAATGGCTCAGTAATGCATGTGCCCCTGATTTGTACACTAACAACTGTCTTACTCTGAACACTGGAGAATTGGGCAAAGGACATGAGTTTCCACTTCTCTAACTCCATTAAGGAACAGGGGTGTACTTGTTTGCTGGTAAGATACTTTATTGCCTAGTCCAGAGCCTGACACACAGAGAAAGCTGTTTATTGCTACTTGCTCAATACAAGTTATTTGTTGAAAATAAATGCACAACCTCTCCTAAACTGGTTTTAAATTCTTTACGTTTCACATTTTCTGACATACCTTTGGAATACTTAGTGGAAAACATCTTACCTCTTACAGAAACTATGGGCCTAAAAATGACTCTTCTACACCCATCAAAAGGCTAGGAATCTAAAAGACATGTCCCCCTCCACCCTCTAAAAATGACTCTTTGTCCCAAGAATATGAATAAATCTCCATCTGCCAGGCTGCACTAAATACAGCTTTTATATGCATTACAAAAACACCTGTATTTAAAGCTGCTACAAAAGGAGGTTTTTGGAGCCCTAAAGCACAAAACCAACAGAATCAAAACCAAAAAAGAATAAGGAAAGTCTTTTAAAACTGACAGTATTTGCAAAATGTAAAAATTCAATAGGTCTTTGCCCAACAGTTTACACAGCTAAACTGAGCTTTTCCATTCACATATATTCCCCCAAAGGTGAAGTAACCAGATTATAGCAACATGATTCTAATATTTACAATGTGAAAATGAAAAGGTGACAACCACCTCTGGCCATCTTGAAGTAGAATAGAAACAACCTTTGTTTCTATCAAAGAGAAGTTTTGTTGAAATACACAAAACCATCCCCAATATTCCTACACCAGAGTTAAAACACATACCAAGCCTGGTAAGTCACAAACAACAAGAAATTACCCTGCACAGTTTCTTAAAAGACTATTATTTCACGAAGCGTACAGACTGTGTAGAGACATGACCACTTATGACTAAGTAAACGTAGGTTACAACCTTGAAAAACCAAACTTTTGTTGAACACCTACAATGCTTGTGGCCGCACTTAAGAAGGTGTGGCTAAGTATAAAAACCAAGCTCTAAGAGCATTTTCTTACTAAAACCCCCAAAATCAACGTTTCCAATCACGTTACATTAAACCTGGCCAGTGAACTGCCTTGAACTCAATTAAATCCAATAGAATTTAGTATTTATAGTAAAAGTGGGTACACTCTTTACAAATGCCAAAAGATGTGAACTATTTATATTTACTACCAAAGCTTAGTTTACGGCAAAGGGTAAGGAACTTTAAAAATAAAAGTATTACTTTTGAATTTAATATAAACGTCTGCTAAATGACCTTCTGGCAGAGGAAATTCTTTAAATATCTTGTATGGGTTTTCCGAAGGCAAACTTTTTAAAAACCCTCAAACTATGGTATATTTATGAAGCTCATTTTAAATTATTTCTTCCATCTCTGCTTCACTAATTCATGTATTAAAACTGTTGAAACTCCATTTAACAATTTAACTTCTCTGTAAGATAGAAACTTTTTTAACGGGGGTTAAAGTAGAATAGCAAATTTTCAGCATAAGAGCAAATTTATTATTAGGCTAAAGGAAAACATCCTATCAGCGATTCATTCATACGAAACTATCAGGTTCAATTCATATGAAGTCAGAAGAGAGAAAAAGAATTTTGGAAATTCACATCGCAAAGATATTTCTAAAAAGATGTAACTATTCCAAGTTATTTACTTATTAACAATTATTTTACACATGACATTTTAAAAGTTTCACACACCCAAATTTAAGATAGTCCAAATTGTAACAAACAAGACATGACTTTGATGGAAAATGCTGCTTGCAAACTCGTTTTCCCTGGAGATTTCTTTTTAAAAGATATGGTTGACAATACACTGGTGGTATTTTGCTTTTAAAGTGTTATGAGGAAGGAATAACAAAACCAACCCAGGTATTTTCTGTTTAGGATCAAAAGGAAATCGTAAGGATAAATAAAAGACAAAAAAGGGCCTGACCCAAGGACAGTATCCCCCTCCAAGAGAACAAAGTAAGTTGCAATTTTGAAAACCAAGTTTGAAATAAAAGAAATCACTTCGAGGGCTTTTCCAAAAGCGGGTGATAAAAACTAATAGGCTCCACCCGCAGAACTTTCACAAGTGAGTGAAGGATGATCACAGTTATCAGCTGTGTGCGTGTTTGTGAGTACACACAAGCCATGGAAAACCCGAGACTACTATGGTTAACAAAGGTTACCGGACCAAAAAAAAAAAAAGTGGAGGCAAAGTATTACGCGCCCCTAACAAGGCTTCCCCACAACTCCTGAAACAAGAGCTCTGGCCCTTCGGCTTTAAAAATCAGAACCACAAACTATGGAGTGTTAGAGCCGCGAGGGGAAGGGACGCAGGCAGCCCCCACCCCCGCCAGGCTGGGCGGCAGCGCCGGGCCGCCGAGCACCGTACCTCCCCGGCTCTCTGGCCCCGAACCCGCACGCCCGGGCCGGCGCACCCACAGCCCCCGAACTCACCACACCCCAGCCCCCACCCGCCGCGGCCATGTGACACAGCCCATCGCCCGGGCCGCGGACGCACGCAAACACACCCCTAGCCGGAGGCCCGCGGGCGCTCAGGCTTTACCTGCACGGTGGCGCCAGGTCCCGCCCCGTCAGATCCAGGGGGTCCGGGACCTTTTGTTCCTTCCTCTTCCGATGGGATGGAGGGGGCTGGGAGGGGAACAGGGGAATGGGCGATTGGAGGCGGAACTGAAAACACTCCCGGCCGCCGTCTTCCCGCCCCGCCCCCAGGCCCGGGCCCGGCCGCTTGCCCCGGCGCGCGGGAGGGTAGAGGGTAGAGGGAGGGTAGAGGGAGGGGAGGGAGGGGAGGGGAGGGGAGGGGACGGAGCCTGGCCGCCGCCCGCGGGAAAGGAGGGGGTGAGGACGCGCGCGCCCGCGCTGCCCCTCCTCCCCTCAGGCGCGCGTCCGCAGCCCTACCGGCCGCCCGCACGGCCGCGCCCTCCACCGCCAGCCCACCTCCGCTTCCGCCCTCCGCCCTCGGCCGCCGGCCGCCGCGGCGCCACGCACCCACCTCCCGGCGGCTGGCGGGCTGCTGGCTGGCGAGCTGCTCCTCCGCCGCCGCGGCCGCGCGGGTAGACCCGCCTGCCACCCTGGGCCGCGGGCCCCGCCGATTCGCCAGCGCAGCCCCGGGGCTGGCACCCTGCCGCCCGCTGATTGGCGCCTCCAGCCGCCCGTTAGGGCGCGAGGCACGCCGGCCGAAAGCCGCGCGGGGCGGGCACGGAAGACGGAGGGAGCGGAGGAGGAAAGGAACGAGGCCGAGCGCCGCGGGCAGGGCCGGGGGGCGAGCAGGGCGCGGGGAGTCGCCGGCCACCGCCTCCCCACCTCCCTTTGCCTACGGCCCGCCCCGCCTCCCGGCCGGACCGGCGGCGCCCGCAGCCAATCAGCACGCGGGGAGCTCGGGGTGTGAGCCGCGCATCGGGGGCCTCGAATCGGAAGGGAGACGTCGCTCGCTGATTGGTCCCGCCTCCCCAGTCTAGCGTGAGGCGAGGCGAGGCGGGGCGCGGCCGGGCGGGGCTGGACGCCCGCGGTTTCGCTTGAGTTGGACTCCTGCGCGCTCCCACCGGAGTTCGGGGGCGGCGGGGGAAAGGCCTGCGCCCTGCCGCGCGGGAAGACGATTCCCGGCGACCGCCCGATCCCTCGCCAGCGTCGTGGGGTAGGGCCTGTGGGGGCCTGCCGCTTCGTCCACAGTCCGTCGTGAGGCCGGCAGCGGACACGTGCTCATCCCACTGGGAGGCCCCGGGCAGCCCGGAGGACGCGCCTAGGAGAGAAAGGGGGTTTGGGAGAAGCCCGAGGACCCGTCCCGCGACTGGGCGCGCCCTATGCAAATGAATGGGCGGGGCCCTCGTGCTGCTGAACGAGGGTAGGTTCGCGATGTAAATAAGCCCAGAGGTGGAGTCTTTGGAGAGCACTTAGGGCCCGGGTAGGGGATGCCAGATCTAAGTGTTTAACCTAAATCTTGGTTCCGTCTTCAGTAAAAATGATATCAATAATCCACGTCCCGAAGGGTCTGTGAAGTCTAAAAGAAAGGCATGTCATAATGTCCTCTAATGGCTGGGATATCTTCCCTTCCTCTTTTCTCCCGTTGCGGCGTTTAGGCCCCAGCTTGGGCATCTGCCCTACAGGAGGCAGCAAGGCCCTAAACTTACCACAGACCAGGGCATAACCGCACCCAGGGAAAACCTTGTTGCTTTTACCCTTAGGAGCACCCAGGTCTCTGCTGACAAAATATTGAGCCCAACTAATCACATCAGGTGTTTACTATGCACCCACTGTGACACAGGCAGGGAGTACCGTAGAACTAAAGTTGAAAAGAAACTTAGGTCTCACACAGGTGCCAGAGACAAGACTAGAACACGGTTTTTTTGGGGGTGCCTGTCCAGTAATTCATTCTCATGTATGGCTTACTTTATAGATATAATTGGGGACTTCAGATAAGCGGGAAAGAAGCACTAGCAATACAAATCAGTAATCAGAAAGTACCAAATGAGCACTCCAAACAATAAGAGTTTTTGAAGTATACTCTTTCTTCTGAGAAATGAACGTGTCCCAGAGGAGGGTGCCTTCAGATGGACCTTAAGATGTGGCCATCCCCTGAGTCATACAAGTTTTCCAGATGTCCTTTGAAAATCTCTGTCCTTTCCACCGTCTCTCGAGGAACTTTTCTCACGGGAAAGTTGCGATGAAGAGCATAAACCCAGGAGTCAGGCACATTGTAGCTTTGAGTACCACTCTGTTCCAGATCTGTAATCTTTGGCAAATGGAACTCACCTGCAACGATACCTACTTAAATATAGTTGTGTGATGATTAAATAATAAATATGAAAGTAAATAGCATAGGGCTTTGAAGTTCAAGGAAAGTCGGTGATCATTAACTTCTCTTCTGTTGCTTGCAAACATTTATGTTAAGACGAACCTACTCAGCAGAAATTCTTCCTCCAAAAATTCCCTTCCAGGGTGGTTTCTTCCATTATTAGTTTAGAGATAGCTCTACTAACCCCTTAATGAAAATGGTTTGTGAAGGAGACCCAGGAAGCCAATTGGTGGAGCTGTCCCACCTCCTCTGCCTTGTTTCCTCTTTCCAGAGCCACTAGGGAGGCGGGTCTAGGGCAAAGGCTGTTCAACTTACAAGTAGGAAGGCTGTTTCTGGTTTTTGGTCTGTCTTACTGCTAAGACAAGTCAACAGTTGTAATATGAAGTAGCATATTAAAAGCTACCCTGGTCACACAAGTATTTTCTCCTATGTGAACAAGGTGGGGATTTGGGTGTCCACCTGAGTAGTAGGAATAGGAACAAAAGCAGGTCTGGCTGGGATTCCAGAATGTACTCCTAGTGTGCGAGTTAGGTACTTTGAGGTTACACTAATTAAGTGGGTAGTATGCCTGAGGTCTAAGTTAGACCATTTATCCAAAGTCTCAGACTTTGGGTCCATAACTCTTCCATTTAGGAAGCCTTCCAGGATGTATAATTGAGGAAGAGCGAGGAGGGACAATCTGGCTACCAATGCAGTCCCCAAGGGGCTTAGAAATGGGAGCATGCCTACTGTCCCCTCTGCTAGAAATGCATCTAAACCAAAGTGGGTCAAGACAGAAACTGAAGGCACATAAAGCAGGGATTGCCATGGCAACAAACAGCTTGGAAATCCACTAGGGTACCTCAAGATCTATCAGTAAGTCCCTATTGTATAAATTAGATTGAATGAGTCTTATTTTTATATGGATAGAGACCAAGTTTAACCCTTCATTAAACATGACACTGCAAAATCACATCTAAATCAATTCAGAATCCAATTCAAAAGTAGTTAAGTGCACTAGAAAGACATAAGAAAAATGATAATGGTGGTTTCTTCTGGAAAGAGCCTGAGGGTCATAAGTGGAAAATTTAAATTTCATCATTATTTCTTTTGTAGTTTGATTTTTTTGAAAAAGCTCACTGCCTTGGTTCAGACTTCATTTTCTTTCATTGGAAGCATTGCTTTAGCTCTTCAGCTGGTCTTCTTGTCTCTACTCTTGCTCCCTTCCAATTCATCCTCCTTCCTGCTGCCAGAATTTTTTTAATAGCATATTTTCTAAATGTAAATCTGATATCACTACCTTGATTGATAGTGTCCTTCTTCCAGTTTTTTTTTTTTCCGGGATAAAATCAAGACTATTTAGCATAACCTAAAAAAGATCTTTAATGATCCATCCCAGGCCAGTCTCTGTAGCGTCACATCTCAACACTCCCCACCTTGCTCCCTTTTCCCCAGCCAGACTGAACTCCTGACAGTTTCCCTAATCACCATGTTCTCTCATTCCCCAGTGCCTGTGCTGTGCTCTCAGTTCTGCTGAAAGCACTTGCCCTATGCTGCCTGACCAACCTCTGCTCATCCTTCGAAGCTCTGTATAGAGCTTCAGTACCCTCATTCGTTCATTGATCTCTCTATCCGTACAAAGACACACAGAGACACGCACACACACATATACTACATCTTAAGGAAAGATCCAGTTATTTGCAACTGAGAGGATACTGATTAAATGAGATAAGTAAAAATTTTAAAGAACAAATGTGTGGAGTTACTTTTATTGTAAATGATAAGGAAGAAATCCAACACCAGCTAGATTTTCATATTGATACAGTGAAATTTCAGGTTCCAAATGAATTTATGTTGCAGATTTGAACATATGCAGCCCCCCAACACACAATCCTTATTCACATTAGTTTTTGCTAAAAAGAAAAAGTATTTCACATCTGATAGAATATGCAAGAGACAGGAATACGGCATATCTGAGGAAAAAACTTGAAATTTAACAAGTGTTCATCAGGTATCTGTCATGCACCTACCACAGAAGCATTGACTGATCATGGTGGAAAATTCTCACTCTTTGGCCAAAGTCACTTGAAATAAGACAGGTAGGATTTTTTGTGATTAAAGAGAGAAAGAGATTAAAAGAGAAGTTGGCTCTGATAAAGACGAAAATATATGGCAAAACAAATTATATTTCTCATCATTCTCCAGGCATCGTAGTATTCTATTTCTTATCTCTACACTTAAATGGATAAATAATGATTAGAAGACTAGATCATTGGATAACCCAGTGACTGTTCAAATATTACTTGGAAAATTACAATACAATTCCAATGCAATGAGCTCTCCCATAAAGGCATTTAAATATCTGAGATCTACATATTTTGGAAAAAGAATAAAAGAGGCCAGTGTCTAAACCCTGAAAGAACAATATCCAAATTGTTTGAAGTTCTGTTGTTAGGGGAGATTATTTGGTAGTCATATGCCAACAATAGGGCCTTATGCTTTCATTATAATTGTCTGTGGGTGAGAATATTGACTGAGCCAGGCTGCTGCTAGGCAGGAAAGTGTATGAAGGTATAATACTCTTGGAAAATTTCAAGCTTATTAGCATAATTGCTCTGATGAAAACTGAAGAGCTTACTTAACATAGCTGACTAGAGTAGACAATAGATGCATAAGCAGTGTCCTAATTATTGAATTAATGAGTCCCAATTGTTTGTCCTTACTGTAAACGGTCCTTGATATGAAACAGACATTTGCTGAAGGAGTCTGACAATTGTGTTAGCTGACAAGTGGCCAGAATGTAATTAATGGTGGGAGAGAGCCAATTACTACTGGGTCCTAAAGACTTCACTGGTGAGTTTCAAGGAAAAATTATATAGCTATACAGTGGTTTCATATCAACTCTTCTTTGCTTTTGTAAACTCATGGAGCCTGATTCAGTGCTCTTATTTTGCAGTTGAGGAAACTGAAGCTGAGGCTTCCTTCTCCAAAGTCCTGTGACCACTTAGTGCCATGCATTGTGCATGTAGTATCTGCCTTTTCTGCTCTGGCACTGCCCACTGACTCTTCTTCATGTTCCTGGTCTGCATGCACACCCATGCTGCAAAACAACACTTCTGAACCTTTGCCGCTCTACAAAACTTCAAGTTCCCATTACTTTGTAAGCATATGTCCTCACCAACTATTTCGTGGTGAAAATAGAGGCAAATTTCCTACCCACGCCTGAACCCCCAATGATGGACAGATGTACCCGTCTCCAGACCGACCCTTCCAGCCATTTTCCTCAAAAGCCTTGCCTATCCCTCTGGATAAGCTTTTTCCTCCACTTACTGTCTGTTCCCTTGACCACCCTGTCCAGGGTGGTCATACATACACACATCCCTCCCAACATACACATGTCACACTCTATCACATCACCTTTAAAATTTTTTCTTTAAAAACTTATTATGTAGAATCATCACGTCCACTTACTCTGTACTGAATTGTTACTTGTCACCCCTTAACACTTAATGTAAGCTCTAAAAGAACAGGAAATATGTCTGTTTTGTTCACCATAGTATCCCTAATTCAAGCATACATGGAGGCACTCAATAAATATTTTTGAATGGATGAATAATTTTCACTCAAGTTCACTCAAACTCAGCATATCCAACTGGAAATGATCATCTCCTTCTGTTTTCCTGTCTGTGTATGTCTTAGCCCAGTTCCCTAGAAAACAAACCTGATGCAAGGATTAAGTATTGATGCTTTTTTTTTAGAAGGTATAATCCCAGGGCAACAGTATGAGGGAAAAGACAAGAAAAATGGGGAACAAGGTACAGCAATGCATTACTGTGCTAAACACTACTCCATGAAAAGCCTTAAAGAAATACAGCCTGTCTCTTGGGCAGGTGCAGCCACTTGGCCATACAGGACATCTCCAGACAGGCAGTATGGAGAAATCACACCATGAAACAATGTGAAGAAGGAAGGAATTTTTTCCTGTGTCTCCTGTCTCCTGTTGGTCATAGCTTGTCTTTCAGGGAGTAAAAATTTTCTCACTTCCCAGTTGGGTTATCCATTTTCTTTGACAGTCACTCAGAAAGCCAGGTCCCATGCCCTGGAGTTCAGAAATGGTGGGAGGAAACTGGGTATGTGGCTGGTTGACCTCAGGCAGTTAAACCACAAGGGACTTAACTAAGTCTCTAGTGGTAGCAGGTGAAACAGAAGAAGAGGTCAAGGGTCCCAGAGATGGTAAGGCCCAGAAAATCTGAGAAGACATGTAAATTAAGGCTGACATAGAGTAATCATTACTACTGCAAAGGTAGGACCAGGTTTATTTTATCCACTTCATGATACACAGCACCTACCACACTATGTGCTAATTAAACTTCTGTTGAATAAATTCCTGCATAAATTACACCACCACCTGCCGGATCTACTCAAACAGAAACCTTGGAGTCATCCATGGTCTTCCTTCTTTCTTAATTCCTGCATATCAAAGACAAAATTTCCGTTGGTTCTACCTTTTTAATGTGTCTCAGATCAATGCCTCCTCTCCAAGCTCACTGCCTCGATTCAGACTTCACTGTCTTTCATTGGAAGCATTGCTTTAGCTCCTCAGCTGGTCTTCTTGTCTCTACTCTTGCTCCCTTCCAATTCATCCTCCTTCCTGCTGCCAGAATTTTTTTAATAGCATATTTTCTAAATGTAAATCTGATATCACTACCTTGATTAATAGTGTCCTTATTCCTGTTTTTTTTCCAAGATAGAATCAAGACTTTAGCATAACCTAAAGATCTTTAATGATCCATCCCAGGCCAGTCTCTGTAGCATCACATCTCAACACTCCCTACCTTGCTCCCTTTTCCCCAGCCAGACTGAACTCCTGACAGTTTCCTTAATCACCATGTTCTCTCATTCACCAGTGCCTGTGCTGTGCTCTTTGTTCTGCTAGAAAGCACTTGCCCTCTGCTGCCTGACCAACCTCTGCTCATCCTTCGAAGCTCTGTATAGAGCTTCAGTACCCTCATTCATTCATTGATCTCTCTATTCATACATACAAAGACAGACAGACAGACACACACACACACACACACACACACACACACACACACAGCCATTCAGTGTTTATTGTAACAGCCAGGGTTCTTAGTTGCAAGCAACAGAGAAATTGATGTTGGCTGACTTAAGGAGAAAGAGAATTTGGTGAAAGGATATTGGGTGACTGACACAATTGCTGGGAAGGCTGCAGAAACAGGCTCAGACAATAAGCAGAAACAAGGAAGGCTAGGCAATAGCCAGGAAGACAGCCAAGACACAGGACCACATACTGGGGGAGGAAGGCAACCATCACTGGCACCACCATTCCACACAGGATGCCATGGGCTTCACTTCCAAGTCAGTGTCACTGGGCACTACCCACCATTCGCTCCCCACCACTCTCACTATCAGCACTGTTGTTCCTGGCAACCAGATGTCACTGCAGTGCCTGTTACTGCCACCATAATTGTTTCTGCACCACCTGTATTTTGCATTACTGTCTCTGAAGCCCAGGGCAGATCCATTAGGTCAACCAAGCTTAGCCTATGTCGCATGCTCTACTTGCAGGCAGGGTTGAGAAAGTAAGGAGCTAACATTTTGGTAGGCTTCTATATTACATTGGGGATCCGCTTCTCTCCAGTAATCCTCAGATAATTATCTAAACAAAATAAAGGGGGCCAGGTTCTGGGGAGCCCCTAAATGACAAATGTCCACTATGTTCTCAAAATTGCTCAACAAATAAATTGTGCATCTACCTGAGCCAAGTTGTCTTCGAGGCACCAGGGATACAAAAATGAATAAAGTGACCACTTCATACCCACTAAGATGGCTATGATCAAAAAGGCAGAAAATAACCAGTGTTCCTAACGATGTGGAGAAATTGGAATCTTCATATATTGCTGGCGAGAATATAAAATGGTGCAGTCATTCTGAAAAGCAATCTGGTAGTATTAATACCTCCAAAGATTAAACAGAGTAACCACATGATCCAGCAATTCCACTTCTAGGTATTTACCCAAGGGAAATAGCAACATATATCCACCCAAAGACGTGTACACGAATGTTCATGGCATTCATAATACCGTGAAGTAGAAGCATCCCACATACCCACCAACTGATCGATGGTAAAAAGTGGCACATCTATACAATGGAATATTATTCAGCCATGAAAAGTAATGAAGTATTGAGACATGCTGCCATATGGATGAATAGTGAAACTTGAACCATTATGCTAAGTGAAAGAAGCCAGTCACAAAGGTCACATACTGTGTGATTCCATTGTATGTAACATCCAGAATGAGCAAATCTATAAAGATAGAAAGTGGATTTGTGTTTGGCAAGGTCTGGGAGTGGAGGTGGGGAAGGGGAGTGACAGCTCATGGGTACAGGGTTTCTTTCTGTGATAATGAAATGCTGTAAAATTAGATTGCAGTGATGATTGTATAGTTCTGTGAATATACTAAAAACCATTAACTCATTTACTTTTTTTTTTTTTGCCATGCCACGAAGTGTGTTTTATTTTCATTATTCATACAAATAATTTTCTATAATATTCCAGGGCAAACCAGAGAATTTGGCAGTCCGATTGGGGGGGTCCCTTCAGAGACCCACAGGCTGGTGGCATCGGCGTGGAGTGCCCAGGTTCACAGTGCAGCTTGTGGCTCGTGTCCCTCTTGCAGGTAGCTCTTCCTCCACATCACGACTGGGGTCTCGAAGATGACGGGGGTAGGAAATCCTCCAGGATTTTAGGAAATTTCACTCCGCTTCTCCTGCTCAATGGTCTCTTTGGTTGGCAGGGTGTTCTCCTGCGTCTCCGTTTTCTTCAGCTTGGCCTTATCGAAGCTGGCGATTTCCCCCATGTGTGGTTTGTCTGCCATTTTCTTAAAACAATCCGTGTAGTCGGGTTCCGAGCCCATGATCCTGGTGCTCCCACTCGCGTTGCTGCAGCAAGAGACCAACTCATTTACTTTAAATGAGTGAATTGTGTGCTATGTGAGTGATGTCTTAATAAAGCTCTTTATAAAAAAAAAATGTAATAAAAAAAGCCTCCTTTTCCTCAAGGAACTGACGAGCTTGTGGGACAGCAGAGTTAAGAAGGTGGCTGCCAGTGGCCGCTGGTCATGCCTGTAATCCTAGAGCTTTGGGAGGCCTGGAAGGATCACTTGAGGCCAGGAGTTAAATAACAGCCTAGGTAATGTAGTGGGACCCTGTCTCTACAAAAGCTGTATTTAAAAAAAGAGTTAACAAGGAAGTAATACAACTTCAAGTTGTGGCAAACCTTTCCCTCACAGCTACTCCTTCTTTCTTCACGCCTCAAGATGGAAGATGTACCTTGCTCCTTGCCACAGCACTTACTTAACTATATTTTAAATTGTCTTTCTCTGAACAGTACGATCCTTTAGGTAGGAACAAGTGTGTCGTTGAACTTTGGGTCACCAGGGCTAGCGGCAGTGCCTAGCACACAGTAGGCTTAATAGTTGTTTGTTGAATGGTGAATAAATGAGAGAGCCAGAACTGGAACTTGGGTGTCCCAAGACCCAGACCAGATTCCTTCCAACTACACCCAATCATATTGACGTCAGAAACGAATGCTTTCCAAATCTGACGGCTAGCCAGAGAGACGTCTACAACAAAAACAGTTGCGTTTTCTACAAGCTGTCAGTTTCCAGGTGTATGTTTACATTTTACACTGTAAATGTAATTTTGCTGTTTCCATTAATTATGCTATGTCCTTTGAATAATCGTTTCACTCACCTGATTTACAGCTCTCTCCCTTGAGTTCATCACATAGCACCAGCTTTGCTGTCATCTTTAGCATCCTGCAATTGCGACTTCTCACCCACTTGGCTGGTCAACACTGAGTAGGGGGCTTTCTGGCCTATGTGCACAGGGTTTCAAAGGCCCAGATTTTAGAGATTTGGTTTTTCACTTACCAAGAAGCACAGAGTAGAACTATATCAGCAAAGGTTATGTAGAAAATTATATTTTTCACGGCCTCTTGAGATTTAACTTTGCAACAAACGTTCCGTACTACTTTTAACAATCAGCTTTATTGGCTGGGTGCAGTGGCTCACACCTGTAATTCCAGCACTTTGGGAGGCCAAGGCGAGTGGATCACCTGAGGTCTGGAGTTCAAGGCCAGCCTGGTAAACATGGTGAAACCCTGTCTCTACTAAAAATAGAAAAATTAGCCAGGCATGGTGGCGAGCACCTGTAGTCCCAGCTACTTGGGAGGCTGAGGCAGGGGAATAACTTGAACTTGGGAGGCAGAAGTTGCAATGAGCCACAATCGCACCATGGCACTCCAGCCTGGGTGACAAGAGTGAGACTCAGTCTCAAAAAAAAAAAAAAAAGCTTTATTGAGATATAATTCATATACCACAAAATTCAATCAGTTAAATGGTACAGTTCAATGGCTTTTAGTATACACAGAGCTGTGCAACCATCACCACAATCTGATTTTAGAACATTTTCGTCACTTCAAAAATAAACCCATACTGGTAGCATTCACTCCCCATTCTTCTCTCCCCTACTCTTGACCCTAGCCAACTACTAATCTACTTTTTTTGTCTTTATAGGTTTGCCTATTCTGAATATTTCATATAAATGGAATCATATAGTATGTGGATTTTTGTGACTGGGTTCATTCACTAAGCATGTTTTCAAGGTCCAGCTATGTTACAGCATGTATCAGTATTTCACTTCCTCTTATAGCTGAATAATATTCTATGATATGGATATACCATATTGGGCATTTGGTTGTTTCCATTTTTTTGTCTCTTATGAATAATGCTGCTGTAAACATTCACATATGTTTCTCTACTACTTTTTAAATCATAACTTTGTTTCAAAAATTCCTCCACTCCTCTGATGCTCTTGTCTCTCAGTAGGCTCTCCAGTAATTTACAAAGTTCTTCTAGGTTTTTTATAATTGATTATTAATGGTTATCAAAGGCCTAACGTTTACCTGGCAGTAGCTTTCCTGTTACTGTAATTATTACCAATATAGAAAATATTTCACTGAACTAATGAAATAACTGTATCTCCGATGACATTTTGTGACCTGTTAAAAGATGCCAAGGAAGGCTGGGTGCGGTGGCTCACACCTGTAATCCCAGCACTTTGGGAGGCTAAGGTGGGAGAATCACTTGAGGTTAGGAGTTTGGGACCAGCCCAGCTAACATAGTGAAACCCTGTCTCTACTAAAAATACAAAAATTAGCCAGGTATGGTGGCCCACTCCTCTAATCCCAGCTACTCAGGAGGCTAAGGCACAAGAATCGTTTGAACCCAGGAGGCAGAGGTTGCAGTAAGCCAAGATCACACCACTGCACTCCAGCCTGGGCAACAGAGTAAGACTGTTTCAAAACAAAACAAAACAAAACAACAACAACAAAAAGATGCCAAGGAACCATGTTCTTGGAGAGTCTTATCTGCTAAAGACTGTGCACTGTACTGTGAAGACAAGAATTAGGACACAGTCCTTGTCCTCCAGGATCTTCTGTTCTGTTACAGGAGACAGTTGTAGGGGATGCAACTCACCCAGTCTTGGTGGTCAGGGAAGGCCACTGTAGGCAGGATGGTACTGCTGGGAGTTAGCCAGGAAAAGAGCCAAGAGAGCAAAGGCAAACACATGAGCAAGGGCCCAGATGTGAGAGGAGCATGTTTGTAAGAAAGGGAGGGAGAAAGGAAAGGAGAGAGAGGGGAGGGATATGAGGAATTATGGAAAGAAATGAAGCTGAACCAATAAAGAGCCACATTGTTAAGGGCTTTGAAAGCCACGCTAAGGAAAAGTTGCTCTGCTTGAAGGGGAAGGATTAAAAAAACATCAGCAGATCAAACGTTTGACCCTCTCAACACAAAACAAACACAAAACCTTATTGAAAAATGTACAAAATGAAAAGGAATTTGTGAAATACTACTTTTTAGTCTTCGTGTTAGAAGTAAATGTGTTTCTCTTTTAATCAAAATTTTCAAATTTGGTGTCAACTTGTAATAATAGTAATGTTTAAAATTATTTTCTTTTTATTATTTAACAAATATGTGTGTAGACCCTCCTATGTACAAGAGATTACTCCAATCTCTGAGGCTACAAAATGTTTCGCAAGGCTTGGTTCCTCACTTGAAGGCATTAAGTGTTAAATCACATAATTGGTGCATAAATAAACCAATAATATTTTATATATTATACATATTTAATAAATTTATTCAGAAGAAGAGGCACCACCAAAGATTCAAAGTGTATCAACATTAGTGTCCCTCATTGGCACAATTATAATTAATTCAATTTTTTAAAGAGCCCTACATCAAGGGGCCTTCAACTAAGAAGGCTCTTAATTACTTTTGCTTTGGAAATTTTTTATCCTCTGGTCCAATTCAGGGAAAAACACTAGGAGTATTTTTTTAAAAAGCTTTTATTATACATTACAGACAAAGTAGTGTCCTATGGGCTATGAAGAATGTAAAGGAATGGTAGGTATGGTTCCTTCTCTCAATAAAATTCCAATTCTACTGGGAATACGAGAGGTGGCATAGAGGAGGTTGGGGGAGCATTTATTGTCTCCTCTCATTGTGCAAGGTTCCTAAAGCTCGCTTTATCTCATTTGATCTTCCCATAACCCTATTAGGAAGGTATTTTTCTCATAAATAATAGAAGTCCCCGTAGAGGTAAAATAACCCAAGATCAACAAGCCACAGTGTACATTTCCAATTGAGGTGAAAACCAGGAAATATATACCAAGTGTGGTCACATGGGCAATTGCCCAGTTCAGCTGAGTGAAAATGGGGTTGAATTATCTTATAGCTAGCCTTCAGGGGTCTTTCTTGCATCTCTACTCTTTAGCTCCAAGGAAGGTGATGAAAAGCCCTTCTGAGACCTGGGGCTGGGGCTAGCACTGTCTGGAGGCATCTTCACTCACATGTCTGGTGGGTGATGCTGGCTGCTGGCCAGCACACCTACACATGGTCTTTTGAGTCTTTGGTAAAGGGGAATGGATATAGAGAAATAGGAAAGACCAGTGAAGGGAGATACGCAGTTAAGGGAAGATTTTAATCAGATGGAACACAGAATATTTTTTGTAGATTGATGGGAATAAACCAGTAGAAAGGGGGAAATGATAGTATAGGAAAGAGAACAGATAACAGTGAGAATGGTACTCTAGAGTTGGTGAAAGGAAATGGGACCCAGTGCACTGGGAGGGTTTAGCCTAAGACAGCAACTTGGATGGTTCACCTATTGCACATATCCTCAATGAGGACAAAAGTTGGTTCCTACTCTTTTTATGTACAAAGCACAGATACGCATGCAGTACATAATCTTATGGCATGAGGCAACTAGGATAAAGGTATCTAAAAAGACTCTTTAAGGGGCAATAATGAAAAGAAAAGGTTGAGAAACACTGATCTACAGTAACTCGAGAGAAGGCAGAGAGTATGTGAGTAGGTATCAGTGTTCTGATGTTTGGGTGTTTAGATGTTTGAAAGGTGTGGAAGCTCTTTTCTGATATCATCTATTTCCCAGTGAAATAAGAAGCAAGAAGAACCAAATATGAGAAGGAGAATGGGAGTTTTACAGGTTTGTCAAGAGATAAGAAAGTTTGAAATTGATATCTTGGAGGGTCAGAGAGGGAATTGGCTAAAGACTCACTTGATGTTGATGGACTGTTTAAGGTGAGATCAGTCAGTATGTTTGTGTGCTTTTCTCTAACTGCATTCAGATGCTCGGATTAGGCAGTGGTTGGGTTTCACCAGGGTTGGTATACTTACTAGGGAAGTACAATGGCTGGAAATATGAGCAAGGGCATTTCCAACAGAATGGCTATAATGGTCCTCAATTCCCTACCCTCACTCTGCACTCCCCATAACAGCACACGTTGTTGGCTTCTCACACCAAGCCCCTGCAGCTCTCTGTGGAAGGGCTTCTTGTTGGCCTGTGTTAGAATAGGCCAGAAGTGCTAGGAAGCTCCTGGGAGCAACTTTTAGCTAATAATAGATGGGATACTACAATTTCCTTGCCCTTGGGCGGGGTGGGGTGGGGATAATTCTAAGGACTGTTCCACACACCTGCTTAATAAATTCCCTGTATTCACTTCCTTCTCTTCGCTTTTCCTACAATTATTCAGTTGAGTTTTGGAGTTAACAAAACTAAAAATTTCAATTTTCTTATGTTTTCATTAATTTGAGTTGAGTTCCTGTCATTTGTAACAACAATAAAAACAATCAAATGACTAATAAGGGAATTCACCTCTTGCCTCAGGCTGGCCGAAGTGATCTAATGCAGGGTTTGTTCATGGAGATCCTTTAAAGCCCTAGAGAGGAGGGAGTGTTGTGAGGTTTAAAGAACATCTGACAACCACTCATACTTGAGTTTGTCTCAATACTGCCATGTGCTAACGAAGTGGGCATTGTGCCTTAGGGTTTCGTTGAAGAATCTCTAAAAGTCAGCCTTGCTAACTTATGTTGTAGCTAAGTTTTTGAAGGCATCATCTACTTCACCTGTCAGTATCCTCTCTATGATATGCACAGGAGAAATTTATTTTAGAATGTGTTGCCAGAAGAACTTGACTTCTCTCAAAGAACTGAGAAGGGTTTTCTTTGTGAATCAAGAGAGAACTAAGGAATCAATTGTGTTTATTCACTTTGGCTATATGGAAGCTCAGAGGCAAATACACAGCCCAACATGTGGGACCTTATCATCTGCAATGTGAATATGGACATTTTATGTTTTCCTCCTAATCTTAGGAATATATTCTAATTTATATTTTCCTTAAACTCAATTTTAATATCTTATTTAAATTTTACTATTTATTATAAATGCTATAGAAAAAATCCTTATTTGTGGAATAAAGAAAAGTATAAATAAATAGGTACACACAAGCTGGGCATGGTGGCACACATGCCTATAGTCCCAGCTACTTGAGAGACTGAGATGAGAGCATTGCTTGAGCCTGGCAGTTCAAGATCAACCTGGGCAACATACACAAGCCCTGTCTTTAAGAAATAAAATGAAAGATAAAGAAAAGAATGAGTACACACACTATTATTCAACCTGAGGAATATCCCTTCACTTTTTGTGTGATTCTTTACTGTAAAGTGATACAGTTTAAATTTTTACTGGAAATGGTAAATTCAGAAGCATTCCTTTTACTAAAAAATATAGCAGTAATAGATGATGATTTAAAAAAATAAAGTAATACAACTGGACTCAATAACAAGATAAAAATCTCCATGACCCAGAAACAAAGTAAATAGGGCTAAAACCATGGTGCTCTGGGCTTCTGGTGCAGAGGCAGCAGTCATGTCTAGGAGCTCAGTCCTGTAGAATAATAGGGACCAAGTGGATCCCACAT